TGTGTGTTTTACATGTATGTCTTTATTGAAGTGATGCCTCTGTATGAACTGAGCATGACTCTCTGGGGTGGCCGTGGCCCCCCGTAGACCCCCATTGGGGCCGCTACTGATCAGATTAAAGGTCAGGAAGCCTTTGTCAAAAACATGATGAAAAAGTTCCCGGATCATGATGCTGCCTCCTCCTCAAAACTTCAAAATCTTTTTCTGTCCAAATAAATCTGTCTTCCATCTTTGGAGCTAATTTCCAAATCCCAAAACGGAAAGTTTGGCTTTTGGTTCATCTGTACAGATATTCTCTGTTTCTCTTTCCGGTGTCATTTTATAGTTACTGGGCCGCCATCAGAACCAGAACAAAGCTCCATTGGGGTCAAGGAGGGGTCTGTGTTTTCACCCAGTTTTCGGACGTTTTTGTCCCAGCCCAGCTGAAACCGGGGATATTTTTAGAAATCTTAAAATGGCTGCTCTCTTCTGCAGATAAACTGATGTGAAAGCTCCAGATTGTACATCTAAACAATCCTGCTGTGTTCAAAGACAGCTTTTTTCTTTTTTTCTTTTTTTTCTGTTTTTGCCTTTGCAGTCAGGAGGTTAGAAAGAGTCTTGTGATTCTTTCATTATTTAGCCATTCCCTCCCGAACCCTACAAAGTGGATGTCAGGGCTGAAAGCTGGCGTAATACAACTTTATTTTAAAAAATAACAACAACTTACAGGTAAGAAAGTAGCTTTGTTTTTGACCAAAGATACATTTTAAAATGTTTCAGCCAGAATAATATGACTAATGCTAGATTAAAATTTAGCTTTCGAAGCTAATTTAAAAGCATAATGCTATATGTTAGCTTATAAATGGCCAACAGGTGAAACCTTTTGCTACGACAAACCACTTAGGTGTCTAAAAATGCAGAAACAATTTTACTTTTCATTTTATTAATTTCTAAAGCATGAACTGGTGATCTATTGACCTCTGTCTGTAACTGCAGGTCATTGTCATTACTGCAGTTCTCTAAAAATCTCTCTAAAAGCTTTTAATCCAAATACTTTATCAACAAACACAACATATCCACAGTTATTATTTGCTTAAAACAAGATTTACCTCGGGCTGAAAAGTTACTTGCAGGTTAGTTTTGTTTTATTTCAAGTGGGTGAAGATTTTTGGACTAGGAATTAGATCAAAAATAATCTAAGATTTTGTAATTTTGCAGTGAAACAAAGGACATCTGATTTACTTACAGGGTTTTCATTCAGCATCATTTGTAGTGAACACATGAGAGTATTATAAATAATTTGAGAACGCCACAAATGAAGGATTTAAATATGCTGAAGGAAATCTGTGATCTCTCTAGGAAATGTTCATACTTAAAAAAATTACTTCATATCTAGAAATCTTAGTCTACAAAAATGCAAATGTGTTTATTTTATGTGTGACTGCTGCTGACACCTTTAAAGTTTTGAGGCGCATTAATTTTCTGTTCGATTTTATTTACTTTTATAAGTCACTCGGTGTCATTTAAGCAGTTAAAAGCGCTCCTCTTTTCCAAATCATGAAGTTCTGACACATAATCCATTGAACAGCCTTTAATTACAGGCGATACGCGCAGCACTGGTCGATATTTGCCGGCAGGCTGTGCTAAATAAAGGAATCGATAAAGTGCAGAGATTTAGAGGAGGAGGAGCCACTGGTTTCTGTGCTGATGGTTCAAACCTGCTGACATATTTCAGCAGGTTGAGCTCTGAGGAGATTAACCTCAGCTGGACGTTTTTATTTTTTTATCTTCCCAGGTGTCGAACCAGCGCAGCCTCTGACCCGCCGCTGCAATCATGAGTAATGTGGAGATCCCGGCCGGCCTGAAGGAGCTGCTGCAGGGCTACACGGTGGAGGTGCTGCGCCGCAGGCCTCCCAACCTGGTGGAGTTCGCCGTGCAGCATTTCACACGACTCCTGGAGAACCAAAAGAACGAGCAGCAAGCCAGGAAGAGCAGCAGCAAGCCCGCCGCCAAGGAGGTCACGTTTGAGACGGCGTCAAACAAATCTAACGAGAACGACGAAGAGGAGGAGGTGAAGGAGACTCCCAGTGAGTGTCCCACCATCGCTTAGCAGGCGCTGTGGTTGTGTGGAATAGTCAAAGTTTGCTTCATTAACCTCTTGCCCTCTCTTCAGAGGCCAGGACTGGGAGAAGTCGCAGAGTCGCAGGTCAGTGAACAGCAGCAAATATATCAACTTTAATAACCATTCCCAGGCCTGTTACCATAGCAACTTCACCTGGGCGATAAATTGTCCCAGAACTTATTGCGATAAACAATAACATTGTTTTGAGACCATTTTCAAGTCATATACTAGTAATATTGAAACAGAACACTGAAACAGATAATCAACAAATATAATGAGTCATGAAGACGCTGTAAACAAAATTCTCTATCAAAAAAGGTTTAGTTGAGACCAAAACACGTTTATCAATCAGTTGTTGGTAAAAAAAAAAAAAAAAAGAGAGAGAGAGAGAGAGAGAAAAGATAAAAACGATAAATCAAGCAAATTAAACTTTTCTTTTCATTTATTATGCGATTAATTGATTTATTGTTTATTATGACAGGGCAACCGTCCCAGAATTCATGTTTGTGCTTTAATTGGGGCCTGCCCATGGAATGCATGGCAGGAATCTATTGTTTTACACCTATCACCATTAATTCGGCTCAAACTGCTATGTGTACCCCCACAAAAGTGGTATCAAAACATTCGTCTTCATACCGAGAAGTGCGCTATTATTTTTAGTGGGATTCTGAGTTAAAATGGCAACATAAATTGCGAAAAACGACAAAATCCCATTTAAGTCAATGGAGGCTCTGCTCTGACTCATTACCGTAGCATTACCATATCATGTTAATTACCATAGCAATGGAGCACATGGCTCCAACTCTGAGCTGCAGGCTATTATGGTCTGTCTCGCAGCTCACCGACTCAGCTGCAGCAACCGTTGCTGCGGCCCGAACCGCTGTCTGAGAGGGACACAGCCCATTTTAAATGCCAGAATTACTTTAAAATGTTTGAGCTCAGGTCTCACAATGCATTGGCTGCAGTTGTTAATTACCATAACTAAGGAGCCCAGAAAGAGGCAGTGAGAAGTCTCACAAACAGGGGCAGAGAGAGGCCTTGCAATGCATTGTGGGAAAAATACATATTTCCTGGGACTATTCATATTTTGCTAACATAAATTTATTATTTCTCAGGATTTTTGAGTGTGAATTAAAATCCTTAGTATGAAGATTGAAAATTTTCTAGAAAAAAACAATTATCCACAGTTTTTAGTTTTCTTTATTTCGCACTGCGAGTCAGAACCACATATGTGAAGCATATAGTCGAATCTCACTGGCCCTGAGGTTCAGCCAATGAACCAGGTCAGCCACCAGTGAACAGGCATGAGCTTCAGCCACTGCACTGTGACAGTGGACCAGGTCAAGCATGTCAATACTGTGTGGATGTGCTCCTGGTTCTTACCAGGGGTGAGTCCAGCTGCACAAATTTGCCTGCTGGCAGACATCAGATCACTGGATCCAAACTGACAGGCATGTGTTGGGCAGGCCCCAGTTAAATTTCTTCAGGAATTTAATGTCTAGTCTTACTCTACACTGATACTGGACAGCAGACCAGCAGAGGTTGTTAAAGCTCAGTCTCACACAGTTTTCAGTCCAAATGCCCAACAGGAGACTGACAGTTGTCCCCTGGAGGTGATGGAGGTCTTTTTTGTCTTCTTGATCCTCCAGATCTTCTCGATCATTTTCATCGGCTGGTTTTGTAGGAGGGACATCATCTGGTCCATGGGAGGACAGGTTTGAAGAGTTGAGGTCAGAGGTCAGATGCATCGTGCAAGGCTCAGACAGAGGGAAAGAGAAAAAGGAAATAGAAATCGATTAGGGTTTGTTTTGTCATTTTCCTTGTTGTTTTCTGTACATATACATTTATATTTATGAATCCTATTTTAACCTTTTACGTGATCATATAGTTTTAGTCATTTTATGGTTCCTGTTTGTGGAAAAGTTTGTCAGAGAAACCTGAGGCTAATTGTTGTATAGATCTATACTGATCTATATGGATAGATATCATCCATCTATCTATACTGAAACACATCTATGTGTCTCAGTTAAATATTTCCGTAAAACTTTGTAAAACACACATACACTAGTTTTTTTTCCCCCCATTTCTCAAGGGGAAAATGGAGATCCAAAGTAACTTACCTTTTAATTAAAAAATAGTTACCCCATAAACCTAATAAGGCGTTTTGCCCACACTGATAATACATGGTCAGTTATTTTTTTTAAATTGTTATAGACATTTTGGCAGGCTCTTATTTTATAGCATTGTTTTAAGCTAGTTCATTTTTTTACTCTGCTGATGTAAGGGCAGTTTTCAGATTTTGTGTTTTGAAGTAAATTAAAATTTTCCATGGATTTTTTTCCAAGTTTTTCCTTTTAAATTAAACACAGCGATTTGAGCCATGCAGCAGTTTCTGTGATATTGACTCTCATTCAAATTGGATTTTTTAAAATACATTATAATTTGACTTTAGGTGTTTTCTGTTCTCTGGTGTTGAAACCCCTTAAAATGTTTCTTTGCTTTGTGTTAGTAGGGAAAATGTGCAACAAAAAAAAGAAGAAAAGATGATTTGCACCAGATTTAGCCTAATTTTATTTCCATTTCACATCATCATCTTCCACTAAATTACAACATTACGTCCTGTAAATGTGCCAGTTTGCATAGATGGGATAGAAAACAGACCTTTGAATAACTTTGTATGACTTATTAAAGTCAAATTGCCAAAACTGGCAAGAAATGGGTTTAAAAATAATACAAACAATTAAACAGCTGATTTGTATCGAGAGGACTGAAGATGGAAAAGGCGTTTATTTTAAAAAATAGGTTTATAAATGTTGACTCTTTGAGAAATCTTTAAAGAATATTTCTTGTATATTTTCAAACCTGATAGAGAAATTTAGTTGAAAATGACAAAAAATAAAAATTCATCTGAATCAATGTCGCTGCCGATTTCTTACATTTCTTAAATTACATTCTCCACATTAAAATTGCGCATGTGGGTGAAAAAAAAAACTTTTTGTGGTGGTGGGGACTAAAACAGGAGCATTTGAAGGGTTAGAAAATTAATTTCTTAGTCGACGTTTTACACTTACAGCATTTTAGGGTCACCTTATGAGGAAACTGGTTCTCCAGAGTTTCTCCTAATTGTTTGACGCCAGTGATCAGTAGACAGGCTGCATTAACAAAATACGTGTTTATTTTTTATGACAGTCTTAAAAAAACATTTTTTTTGTGAATCCGTGGGACTTATGAGGACAAAACGTCAAAACAAGCATGTCTGTTCCTCTGCAGTTTGTGCAGAAGCTTATGACCCTGATAACGATGCGGACGACAACACTGAGCCTCAGGTCGTGCATCCCAAAACAGAAGCGCAGCGCCAACGGCTTCAGGACGCGTGCAAGGACATCCTGCTGTTCAAGACCCTGGAGAAGGTAAAGATAAAAGCAAACTGAGATCAGCGTTCGCTTCTATATCGCAGATGACTCAGAGGGGATTTGATTAAAGGTCAAACAAGCCGAGGCAACACCCATGTGACGTTTGTACTCCTAAACATATCAGAGCCAGGTGTTACTAAATCACTGTTACGGCTTAAAAAGTCTTTTAGAGTCTCGTTTCATGTGGTTGGGAAAGAGTAAGGAGGATTGTGAAGATCTGCTCAATCAGCAGCAAACATTTTAAAGATCTCTGGCTGTTCAGAGGTGATTTGCTTCATTTTTAAACCACAGGGTGTGAATGTGGCTTACTGTATGATCTGGTCTTTCTGTAAAACACAGTGGTGGTGAAATCATAGTTTTTCCTTCCTCTCAACTCACTCGCTGTTTTTTATTAACACTTTAGAAGTTACCATCAGTCTTTATCCTGCTTGTGTGTCTATTTTTGAGACCTCCTCGCATTTTAGCATTTAAGAGAGACACACCATCTTAGATAAGACTTGACAATAAAAATTGCAGAAAAAAAAAATCATTTGCTTGTTGTCCATCAGGAGCAATTCTCTGAGGTCCTGGACGCCATGTTTGAGGTTTTGGTCAAACCTCAGGACCACATCATCGACCAGGGAGACGACGGCGATAATTTCTACGTCATAGACAGGTGAGTGAGAGGTTTTAAAATATGTACATTTGACATGCATAAGGCTGTGGTTGCCAGGTTTACGGCCACTGAAGACAGAACAAAATTCAGACTTTAATCTCAGAATTGTCCTTTTTTTTTTCTCAGAGTCAGAGTTTTAAAAAAAAATTTGTTTATGCACTATTAGGCAGATTTAGTCTTAAAACTCAGATTTACCAATCACTGCACCTTTACAAATCCTACAAGAAGGGAGAAACAGTCATGTGATTATTTTCAAAATATTACTAACACCAGAATTGACCTACACCTAAGAATGTTGACATGGATGGACACAGAATTAGAAGTCAGAACTCTGAGGAAAAAATTTGATTTCTGAGAAAAACCTGAATTCTGAGCAAAAAGTCAAAATTTTGAAAAAAAAAAAAAAAAAAATTAATCAAAATTCTGAGAAAAAAAACCCTACATTTTGAGAATAAAAGATCTAATTTCTGAGAAAAAAAAATCTAAATTTTGAGAGAAATAATTTCCAAATTCTGAGAAAAAAAGTCAGAATTTAATTGAAGATTTTTTTTTTGGTGGCACTAATCCTCCTCCGTACTTCTTTCTTCTCTTTCCAGAGGCGTGTACGATATCTTCGTGGCGAAGGACGGTGTGAACGTGTGTGTGGGAAAGTACAACAACAAGGGCAGCTTTGGGGAGCTGGCCCTCATGTACAACACGCCGCGAGCCGCCACCATCGTGGCGACAGAGGAGGGCGCTCTGTGGGGCCTGGTGAGTGAACCACGCCGCCTCTGACGGAGGCACCTGATGCTCCGTTACACCTGAGGCTGTTTCTGACCCGACAGGATCGAGCCACGTTTCACAGGCTGATTGTGAAGAACAACGCCAAGAAGAGGAGGACGTACGAGGCCTTCATCGAGTGTGTGCCTCTCCTGAACTGCCTCGAGGTTTGTCGCTAGCAAAGAGTCTCCTCACAAAGATGCATCGACAAATAAATGACGTCCTTCTCCTTCACTTCAGCTCTCTGAGAGGATGAAGATTGTTGATGTTTTAGGAGTGCGAACGTTCAACGATGGAGATCGCATCATAGCACAGGTGCAAAAAACATTTTACTTTGGTCTGGTTTTGTATCGTAAATATTACACTTGAAACAAGACAACTAACTTACAAGTAGGTTTTCTGCATGATCTGGGTAGGCACTTGTTTTAAGTCAATAATTCCTTAATACTGAAAAAGTTCTAGATCCACTAGTAGATTATTTCACTGATATCAAGGGGAAAATCTCTTATCAGTGAAATAATCTCAGTGAAGTTGGCACTTTTTCATCACTACTAAGGAGTTACTGACTTAGAACAAACTCCAATATCTTGCAGAAAAGTTACCTTTAAGGCAATTTTGTCTTTTTTCAAGTGTACTGACATATTTGCAATACAAAACTAGACCAAGAAGTTTGGTGAGATATTGTGTTTTAAATCTGTGTCAATATTTTATATACCTTTATGACAGAGTTTCCTCCTTTGTTGCAGGGCGACAAAGCTGACTGTTTCTACATTGTGGAATCAGGGGAGGTGAAGATACTGATCAAAACTAAAGTAACTACATTTACCATATTTATCTTCGGTCTGTTTTGAGGACAAGCAGTTCTGCAGCCTGACGTGTTTCTGTGTTTGCTGCAGACGAAGGCGGGGAAGCAGGACAACACAGAGGTGGAAGTGGCTCGTTGCTCCAGGGGGCAATACTTCGGAGAGCTGGCGCTGGTCACCAACAAACCCCGCGCAGCGTCCGTCTACGCTGTGGGAGAAACCAAATGTTTAGGTTTGTTAAACACCAAACATCTACCGTATTTTCCGGACTACAGAGCGCACCTCACAAAAGTTAAGCCGCACACACAAAGTTAAAAACAAAACTGGAAACGTACATATATAAGCCGCACCGGGCTGTAAGCCGCTGGTATCTCCGTGGTTCTCGTTAATAAATCTGCTCTTAAGGACGCAGGCCTGCGTCTCCAACGCCGAATCATGGATTCGTTCATGCCGAGCTTAGCGGCTCTCGATCTGTACCGCCAGATTGATAAACCTTCAACTTAAAAGCTGCATCATATGAACTTCTTCGTGTGGTTTCCATGATGAGAGGGTATGAGATTGAAAACATTTCTCCGTCGTGCCTTTCTGCTAGCATGTGCTTGTTCTAAATGAAAATTAGCATGTTCTTTGATTTCCAATTTTGACTTCCAATGATTCACTTCCTGCTAAAGTGCCCCCTGGTGGTTGAAGAAAAATCTACAGAAAAGCCTCACCAGGCTATTCCTCTGCAGAAACGGGAGAGCTGGTCTTAGTTGATAGAAAGAGCTAAAAACTGATCAACTCTGGAAGAAAACCTGCAACAAAAGATACTTGAGACTTTAGATGGCATGTTAGAATGGTCCAGTCAAAGTCCAGACCCAAATCTAATTCAGAATCTGAGCCAAGACTACAAAATATATCTTTACAGACTCTCATCATTCAATCTGTTTTAGGATGAGCAACAATCATAGAAATGCTCTAGTAGAAACATGACCAAAAAAAAAGAGTTTTATCTGTAAAACATTTTTATACTACTTTGTGTTGTTTTATCACATATAATCCCATTAATGTGAACATTTTCAAGACTGTTCTAATCAAACCAGAGATTATTTTTGTGTTTGCATTTTATTTTAAACAGCGACCCTTTCAAATTGTCACAGAGCAAACGTTGTAGGCTGAATGTCAGCCATAAAAGTGGGAGGGCGAAACACGTTATACTGTCCTACAAATCAATCTTTCATCAAGGTCAAAATCTAGAGCAGATTTTGACCGTCCGTCCGTCCATCCGGACCGAACGCTCTCAGCGCCACGCCAGGCGTAGTCGTGTCACAAGGCGTGTTAAAAATAAAACATTTCAATCACAGAAATAAAGAAATGTTTTCACCTGGATCCTCCTGTTTTCACTAAATAAAACCAGACTACTCCTTATGATCATGTTTTTCTGTTGCTTGTTTTATAGTAGGCCAATAAATATCACATAAACATATTCAGTTGGGTAGTAACCAGTTACATTTACTCAATTACATTTACTTTTTTTTTTATAAAGATGTACTTTCATGAGTATTTTTACTACGTTGTTTTTTTATTTTACTTGAGTAATTTATTATGAAGTATCTCAACTTCACTTGAGTAAAATTTCTACCCACTGAATGAAGAACAAACATGTTTTAAATAAGTCAACAGATAAAGACACACACACCTGCAGTTTCTGTTCAAATTTTATAAGTTTTTTATTGAAAGAAGCTAATTTGGAAACATTTTATTTTTCCTGATTTTGTCATTTTGTGTTGCTTATATGAATTATTGTCATTTTTGTCATTAAAATACCAAAATTTCCATTTAACTTTATATTCCTGTTAAGTCTTTTGTCATTTTTTATTATTAAATTATTGATAATTTCATCAGCTACTCAGTACTTGAACAGATTTTTTACCAAATGCTTTTTTTTTTTTTTTTACTCTTAATTCAGTAATTTCCTGGATGGCTACTTTTTATTTTTACCTTATTAAAACATGTTAAAGTAGTGATGCTCTTACTGAAGTACAATTTTTGGCCGCTATGCCCACCTCTGAGGTGGATTCAATTACATTTACTCGAGTAACTTTTCTGTAAACATTTACTTTTAGGAGTATTTCTCCTAAAAGTACTTTTCACCTTTACTTGAGTGATTTTGGTCGTTAAAATGCCAACTGAAATTGTCTTTCAGTGATTGACGTCCAGGCGTTTGAGCGCCTGCTGGGTCCCTGCATGGACATCATGAAGAGGAACATCTCCCAGTACGAGGACCAGCTGGTGGCGCTGTTCGGCTCCAGTGATGATTTGAAGCGCTAGGACTGGACCCGAACCAGCGAGTGAACGCTAGCATGATGTAGCCGCTTTCTGATCCCTCTGAGGCGCATTTAGTGCACAAACTGTTCCCCTTTTTAACTTTATACCGACACACAAAGCAAAACGCTGTCTTTCTGTGTGTGCGAATCCATTAAGATAATGTTTTACCGAGGTCCTCCGTCGAAATAAAACATGGTGTGAAAGCCAATGATATGAGGCTGGGCTTTATTTAAAATTATTTACTCTTGAATTCGTCAATGTTTTATGCTAGATCAGCCTTTGAAACAAATATTTAAACAAGTTTTTTGGGGGGTTATTTTTCATGGCACTTTCCATAAAAATATAGTCATCTCGGTTGTTTATTTCTTTTTTTTTTTCAAAACTTTCCTGCTTTGAAAATCAGTTGTTCAATATGTAGGACTATTTGCTACGTTTTCTAATGTTTATATTTAATCGTAGGCCGTCCGTCAGAAACAGGAAAACCAAAACAAGATGAAAATGTTAAATTCTGAGGAGCAATTTAACATTTGACGTTTTTTAGAAACTTTTTGAAAATTCATGCTTAATTTGCTTGTTTCCCCATAAACATCCAGCCTTGAAACATTAAGAAAAGCAAATAATTTTTAACACTGTAGGAAATCCGTTACGCCAGCGTTTGTCAAAATGGGGGAAGCGGCCCACTGAGGGCCGTCAGAAGGCGCTATGGGGGCCTCAGGAAGTTGGAGAGATGAGTTTAAAAAAAAAAAAAACAAGAATTAAAAAAATATAATCATATCATTTTTGTTTCCTGTTTTTTTCATATATTTTTTAAAATAAAGTTAAATTTTATTTAAATGTTATTTTTGATTCTCATTGATTGGATGCCAGTGAAACTGATGAAGCTGCTTTGCTCCTTAAGATTGTTTAGCAAGCAAGAAATGGAAAAGTTTCTGACAAGACCAAAGAAAAAAACACCCATAGGAACTGTGTGAATAAAATAAACTTTGATGGGATTAATAGAAAATATTGTATTTTTGTATATAATCAAGAGGGGATGAAGAAATTATATTACCATTGTAATAGTCATAATATATTGTCTGATAAAAATTTCCACCACAAATCTCATGACCAATTAAAATCCAAAGCTGTGAGGCAGAATTTATGCTAAATAAATGTAATTATTGAATAGTGAATAAGAAAATATTGGAAAAGTCTGTTCCTTTACATATTTTGTAGCATTGTTTGTTGGTTTGCACAGACAACAAAATATAAAATATAAATGCATAAAAAGATGAAAAAGTGACAAATACAGAACTAAAGCCTCATCTGAAATCATGTTTTCTGGAGTTTTATTTGAGTTACAAAATAAGAAGTGCCATCAGCAGACTCCAAAGAGTTTGCCAACTTTCTTTGTGTTACAAGTATTTACATCAAAAAAGTAAAGATCCATCTAAATTTCCACACTCTGCGTTCTCGTATGTCCCGGAGGTAAAGTCTCTGTTAAGTCGCCATTTTTCCACTGACGTTTAAATATTTAAAATATTTACAAAGTTCTGTACTGAAAAACCCCTCAGAATGAAGCTTGCTCGACGTGGAGGCCCATGCCAGATGTGTGACCTCTTCAGTAGTGAGAAGAATAAGCAGAGTTGATGGAAATGAAGTAGCTGTTAAAATGAACATGGTCCTCATCAGGGTCTCCAAAAATTTACAAGTTCATTCTTCCTCCGATAAAAGGCCGAGTGAAGAAGTCTGTACATAATTCATTTTAAAATTACACGATGAAATGTCCCGTTAACCGTTGCAGCACAACAGCTTTAATGATCCTCCTGTGAAGAAATGAGTCAAAAAAAAAACACCAATGAAAGATGCCACCCAGATAGTCACCAGTTTTTATGTTTGTTTTTCTTCCTTCTTCAGCGCATCTCCAACACACTAGAATAAAACTTCAATAAATATAAATACAGCAGAAAAATGGTCAAGTAAGACTCATTCTGGTTTGATCCATCCCTGAGTTTTTTTTTTGTCTTGTTTTTTTTTTTTGTTCTTTTTTTTTGAGAAGGACACATATACCAGACAGGAGTGACAAACAAAAGAAGAAAAAAAAAAATCAAATGTTTAAGGTACATCCAAAAATGTTTTTTCTTTTTTTTCCCCCTCCACTGGATCCAGGAACAGAAACAGAAACTGAAACAAACTCCTCTAGTTTCCTGAGGCTCGCAGGGTGGGAGGGGTCACAGGTCACACAGAGGTGATGACGATCATGAGGTGTGGCGAGATGCTGGAGATCCTGTTCAAAAGGTCGGGGGCCAGCTGAGACAAGTGGCTCTCGGAAAACTCACAGGGCGGGAAAATCTGGAGCACGTAGGCGGGCTGGAAGAAAGAGAAACGTCAAGACGTAAACGCTTTCCTGTGGATTCAGGAGATCAGTGCTGAGCCACACCAATAAATAAAAACACCGATAATCACATTCTCCCTATAAAGTATATTTTATTTACAAATTTTCCCATTTTGTTTTTTTAAAGCTGACCTATTATGTTTCCTTGAATTGGTTAGTAGAGGTTTACAAGCTTCAGGAAAAAAAAACAACAAAAAAACACTTTATGAACAAAGTCCTTCACAAATGTGTCATGTCTCACCTGATTGGAACCTGGATTGGGGATATTGATGATACCAGCTGCCAGTTTTGCCTGCAGGTAGTTGATGAATGCAGCTTTAAGAGCTTGAGTTTGGTTTATGACATCGTCCTGATCTCGTCCACAAGGCAAAGCGAGGAGAAGACAGTAATCACTGTCACCCTGCAGGGAGACAACGTCAACATTTAGTCTCAACATACATTTAGTGCCACAAACTACTTCTTGTTTTTGCTTTTTTTTGTCACATAACGGATGAGAAACGATGTCAGTGAAATTGATCAGTCTACCAGTCAGGGGTACAAAGCTGATTCTATGATGTTGGGGCTCAACATCAAAATGATCCCAAGATCAGCAAGAGAACAAAAAAAAATTAAATCAATGTTCTGTAAGGTGCCTAGTCAAAGCCCAAGTTTAAATTCATTTGAGAGGTGTCCTTCATTAGAGCTGAATTAAAATAAGAGTTGTTGAAGCAACCAGTTATTAGGTCCAAGTTTGGTTATCGTAGCTAAAAAAAAATGAGCATTTTATAACTATATTTTGTATTTACTCATTTTGACCAAGTATCTGAGAAGGTTCGTTTGATCATCTGAAACATTTAAGTGACAAAGAAGCAGAACAAGAAGTCTCCAAGGATTTTAATACCTCTTTTTATTTAACTGTAATCAAAAACACAAGAAATTAAGCAGGAGTAAGACGAAACACAACATACCGTCATTCTTCTGGCTACACTCTCCAACTGAGAGGCCTCCAGCCTCATCCTCTGAGCGATCCTGAGCAGAGCGCCTCCTTCTTGCAAAGGCAGCGATCGATGAGCCAGAGTTTTGTTTCCACAGACGAAATGCAGCTGGACAGCAGCTGTGTCGTTCTTCAGTGCCAGAAGGCCCTGCCACACTATAGGGTACTTCTGTTTCAATTACACAGAAACAGGAAAGGGTGTCAGACGAACACTATTTTAGTTTTGACCAACGAATGCAAACGTCCGTCTTACCGTGAGCAACTGCACCATATTAACAACCTGGGTCATCTTTCCATCTGGTTTAGCCTGGAGTTCTGCACCCTTAACATTAGAAAGCAAATCATCAGAAGAGACATAAAATGAGGGAAAACTACTGCTTCCCCTTTGCTATCTACATGTTCATTTTGAAATGTAAACATAAATGCAGTAAAGCTGAAACAATAATCAACTAATTTAGCACTTGATTCATCTTTAACTGAAGTATTCACTCTAAAAAAAGGAGCATTTGATAAAAAAAAAAACATGTAGACTGCATTTAAGCTTATGAAAAACAACCTTTTCTTGACTGTAAATATGTTCTAACCAAAACTCAAGTGGCATAGTTTTAGATTCACTCGGTTCAAACTATGTTAAAAACACAATCTGCTATTTAGCACCTTTTGCTACCCAATTATTAATCAGAGATACTCAGTGGATAAGCCTACATTGGCAGTGCATTAACTTTTCAGATACATTATAGATTTATAAACAGATAAATATAACTAAAGAAGACAAAATATTACGAGGAATTTTTTTAGCTGAAGATAAATCCTTTGCTACAAATCACCAAGCGTTCACTAAAGGAATGCAGTTATTGCATTTTAGGAAGTAAAATGTTCATTTTCTTATTTAACAAAAATGCTTTGCATCTTATGCATTTTCAATATTGTATAAAATAAGTTTAAATGGTTAGATAAGAAATCTGGAAAATGGGCCAATTTATTAAAATGTAATTATACAATAATCAACTACTGTACTAATGTTTAGCTGCAGCCCTGAAGCGCAGTGAACTTACCATAGACGGAGTGACGTTCAGCGGCGGCTGGCTGTGCCCAACAGGGGCGTCCGGGATCTGAGAATGCATGCGGTTTGGGTACATTCCTGAGTACTCTGAGAACGACCCGCTGGGTCCCGGTGGCATCAGGGGAACCCGTTGAGGTGACGCTATAGCAGCGCCAGGCTGCCGGATCGCCATTATTCCATCCTTTGGAATTACAGGAGAGTGCGGCCTCTTTGCTTCCAGTGGCTTTATGTCCTTCTCAGACACGCCTTTGGGCAACATGTGAGCTCTTGGAGATAAAGAAGGCGGCAGAGTTTCTTGAATGTGTCCAGAATGGGAGTCCAGTGTCAGACGCTCCCCCTGCTGGTGCAGACTGTGAACTCGCATATCTCTGTGTGTGATTAACGTTTCCATGTTAGTCCTCAAAGCTCCCCGAGAGTCTGACGGCAGAGTGGCGGATGGTCTCCCAGCTTGGTGGAAGTGTCTGGATTCGTCCTGTTCGCCCTCGTGGCCCCGCAAAGAACCGTGGTTGACCTTGACCCTGCTGACAGCTTGGGGGGAGGACGACCGCGGCTGCAGGGAACCAGGCCACGGAGAGGCAAGCTGCTCGCTGTGGACGTAGTTCATCACAGACAGAGGTGGTGTGTTGACCCTGACCTCCCCCTGAACCAGATGACCCACTGTAATGGACTGGGAGACACAGTGAGGAGACATTCGTCCCACACCTGCAGGCACGTTGTGAGGTGGCATGATGACAGACTGCTCTGGGTGGTGGACACCGGTGATATACTGCTGCATGGGGTTGAGAGCAGAGGATATCATTACAGGGATCCCCTTGGGTGAGGAGGAGCCAAGAGGCGACGACACCTTGGTGAAAGGAGGATGAGAATGTCCTGACTTTCTCGGGGACCGTGGTTCCTGTTTGATGCCACCAAGATGTGACGGACCTCTGTCACCAGTGGATGTGACAAAGCCCACATGGTTCCCAGGGGGAGACGGTAAATGTGGGCTTATAGCAGGGCTTACAGTGGAGGTCCAAGATGGTTTAGCTCCATCTGTACCATGAGGATCAACATTCTCCATCTTCTTTTGGTGTTTTAACTGCAGGTAGTCTTGGTGGTAACCCATTACCTGCTGGTTACCTGGCGGGAGACGCTTCACGACTCCTTGGGACCCCGCCTGGTAAGCTGAATCCATCTTTTCTAAACTGCTGCTGCTGCTTTCCTCCTTAATTGAAGACAGAGTTGATTGGAGTTTACCAGAATGCCCATGATCGGTTTGTGAAGACCCCTTCTGATGTCCCGACTGAGAATGGCTGTAAACATCTTGTTTAATCTGGGGAATCGATACCAATTGCTGAGATTCAATGTCACCGGCTGTTGCTTGT